ATGCCCTTCCAGCCACAACCCATCTCTGGGAAATAAATTATCATATCTTTTTAATTGACAAATGAATTATTGTGTGAACTATCCTTTCAGTGCAAAACTTGCAACAACTGGATTTCAACTGCTAAACAACCATAATCTTGCAGGACTGCCAGTGATAGAGCTTTCAAGCTTTGCTATTTTAGGGAGTGGATTTCTGTAATACAAAGCCAGTGCTTTTAACAGTTTGATCACATGCAGTTTACTCTCAGAAGATACCACCCAAATGCAGAAATGAAAAAGCTGACATATAAAAGTGTCCTGCTGTAGCAGAAAGATTAAAAAAAAGAAGAGAATTTATTTCAAACCCATACTGGAACCAAAGTGGAATTATGCAGCTACTTGATGATATATTGCTATAGATGATATATTACTTGGACTGTTGAACAAAATCCCACTTACTGTACGTGTGCTCTCAACATAAAACATGGCAGCTTTCAGTGCTGCATCCTTTTGTACTGAAGCAAACCCACTTATTTGCAACACATAAACACAGAAACCCACCGCAGGAAGCAGGTCGATATGTGACTGTTTTCCTTAGTCAGACAGATTGCAGTATGTGAATGAGCAGCACAAAACTATCACCTTCAACACGGCACACCATCCATTTGGCATTCCGAACTGCAATTATTCTCTTCCTGGTGCAAGGAAGTTGCCATAGTGACTTGGCCCTGGGCTACATAGAGTGCAAAGGTAAACACCAAACCACAAGGCAATATCTAACCTGCTGTGCTCCTCAGCATTTTTCACTAAGAAAGCTGCATGCCTGATATTTCTCTCCTAACAGCCCATTTCCTCACTGCTGTCTGCTAAAATGTCCACTGCTGTCTTGTCAATATTACAGGGGATGTAACCTGTAAATGTACCAACAAAATTACCATATATACTAACCACCTATGTTACCACTAAATCCTAAATGAAATACACTATTTTACAGGTGTAACAACAAGTTGTTTGTCTGATCTGATCTGAACAACATCTGATCTTGTCTGTGTGATAGAAACAACGCCAAACTTTACCATCAAGAATCCGTCACTGCATTATTGGCAAATTTATTTGATAAGATTACAGGTTTTGTGTACTGTACTCAGCTTTGAACCCTTCAAATTGTGTGTAAGCATCATTTACAAACATCAGATATTTGTGTTGATTATTATGTCAATTTCCAAACCAACCAATAGGCTTATATTTAACATGTTGCAACATGTCCTGGCATGTTCGGTGGGGTAGACGTGCACTTTTATTATGCAGAATGAACTAAATATTTTGTAACGTTGACACATGCGAAATTGAAAGTGTCACACTGACATCTAGTGGCGACCAATGTTACTGACAATATAATTACAAGAACGGTGTGTTCAAATTAGGGGGCCGCAAGGGAGTGCTAGGGATCCATGGAAATATTTGGATAAAGCAGTATATTTTTTGTTAATAATTAAATAAATAAATAAAAATAACCCTATAAAATAATGGAATTATTATAATAAAAACTAAGATTTTCAAATATTTTAAGAGAACAAATAAACATTACACAAAATAAACAAACAAATAAAACTGGATAAAAAATAATCTAAAAATGATGATGCGATATGATTAAATGAGATTTAAATAAATAAATTATCAAAACTTTGATTTAAAGAAACAATACAATTTGATTAAATAAAACAAATAAAGATAATTAGATTCAAATCCTACAAATGTTACTACAAGTATTCATAATGCATATTAAAAATATACATTAATAATAAATACAATATATAAAGAATAGAAAACAAAGTAATGTAACTTAATAGAAACTAAATACATACCAAGTAATTTTTTAATTTTTTAATGTTTTACAGAATAAAAACATATATATATATATATATATATATATATATATATATATATATATATATATATATATATATATATATATATATATATATTAGGGATGTGCGGAGCAGCCGGTATTTGTATTTGTATTTGTATTTGTTGAGGGGGGAAAAGTATTTGTATTTGTATTTGTATTTGTATTCGAGTAAAATTCAAAATGGCGCAAAAAGATATATTTTTTCTATTACACTTCTAATTTACGTGTTAGTGAAAGTATTGTTTAATTATACCCATTATATAAATTATAGATATGCAATATTGGCTGTTGTTTTTGAACATGTGATAAGAAATGTCATTGAAAAGAAAATAACATAGAAGCCATTATCTCATCTATGGTTAAACCAATAACTAATAAAATACCATTGTGAATATTATGAACCACACCACCACCGTTCTTGTTGAAGGACACTGAATAGACAGAATAAAAACAAATAATACTTCAAAAAACTGTTCTTCTTCAGAAAGAACTTCTTTCCAATGCACAGAATTACAAAAACTAAAATTAACTAAATAAATCTAAATAAAACCCTGCCTGGGAGATCTGGCAGAACAAAAGTATTCTATATAATAGTAAAAGATACAGCCCTGCTATTGTCATCTGCCTGCCACAAAACAGACACAAAGTTTGTTTTTTTTTTTTTTTTGTTTTTATGTTTGAAACTGACTTGCTGGTGCAGAATGTGGCTGTGTTGATGGTTTGGTGCTTGTGGAGGATTTAGCAGAGCATAGCTGTGCTGATTGAGGGGATTGATGCTTGTGGAGGGTTCACAGACAGTATCAGGAGAGGATGCTTTTAGTGCATGTGATAATACATTACATAGAAGGTTGCGCAGTGGCACAGTGAGTAGCACTGTCGCCTCACAGCAAGAAGGTTGCTGGTTCGAGCCTCGACTGGGTTCTCCCCATGTTGGCGTGGGTTTCCTCCGGGTGCTCCGGTTTCCCCCACAGTCCAAACACATGCAATACAGGTGAATTGGGTAAGCTAAATTGTCCCTATTGTGTGTGTGTGAAAGAAAGTGTATGGATGTTTCCCAGTGCTGGGTAGCAGCTGGAAGGGCAGCCACTGCGTAAAACATATGCTGGATAAATTGGTGGTTCATTCCACCGTGGCAACCCCAGATTGATAAAGGAACTTAGCCGAAAAGAAATGAATGATTATGCATAGGAGATGTTGACAGATGTTTAATATCTCTGCCTCTGCCGATTTCACTTTTGCACACATTATAACGTTACAGTATCAGTTTTTTTTTTATCTGCAGCACCACTGACTGTAAAATTCTTCCACAAAGAACATGTTTTTTTTTTTTTTTGACTGGTGGAGGACCAAGAAATGGCTCAGCAGCACTCTCACTCTTTTTCATGGTGCCCAAATGTATTTGAGGAGTTTCAAGTTAATAAAAAGTGACGGGAAGCTATGCTAAGGTTAACTAGCCTATAGCATATATCTTGCTGTCTGCAAAAGACAGTAATGTAGACGTACCATATAACTCCCATAAGTGCATACTATTCGACACAACAGCACAAGCATCATTTTAACCTTTATAAACGAACGTTAACGTTACTCTGTCAACAGTCTATTGTCTAAATTACCGCGCTAACAGAGCTAACGTTGCGTAAACAGAGCACACGGTTGCAAACTTCCCGATCCCGATCAAACTCCGCTACAAGTTTATAAACTGCATCTGGAACCCAATTAAGGTACAAAAATCTATTTAACAAAAATAGTGATGCAGATAAGTATTTTTTTCGCTCAGCCGAGCCTTCTCTGTCTGTATCTGTGGAGAAGATTGTGCCAGACACCTCCGCCCCGCCCTCCGACTGAGCGTCTCTCTCGCTCGCTCGCTCTCTCTCTCTCTCTCTCTCTCTCTCTCTCTCTCACTCACTCACTCACGCGGGCATGCACTGTGGTCTCATGAGGAAACGCTGCTTTTTGATATAGTGTTTTTCTTGCTCCCGAATACAAATAATTTTTCAAGTATTTGTTCGAATTAAGTATTCGTAAAAACACGCTATTCGTGTCTTTCCGAATACCGTATTCGGGTTCGGCTCCATCCTTAATATATATATATATATATATATATATATATATATATAAAGTAGGTCTAACCGTATATAGTCTTACATTTTTTTATTAGGGGCCTGGGACATCTAAAAGCTTCAAATTATTTATATATGTTGATCATTTCAGGTTTAACTGAAAGATAAAACTTTAATTTCACCTTCACACACATACTGTATATAAATAAAGCTGTTCTCTGGAACTTAACCTCTCCCTCACATCCCATATTTGCACTATTTGTTTATCATCTTACATGTACATACATCTTGTATCTCTCGTTCTACCTCAGAACTGTTTACTTCACCTCACCCCCCTCTCATCTATTGTTTAATATCTACAGTTATTTCTACTGTAACCTGTTTGTATTAAAATGATATATTTACATGTTTGCACTGAGTAGTGAGATGCACTTAAACTCATCACACTTGTGTTTAATGTATTGTACATACTATACATGTACCGTGACAATTAAACGCTTTCTGTTCTTTTCTATTCTATTCTATTCTATTCTATTCTATTCTATTCTATTCTATTTGATTCTATTCGATTCTATTCTATTCTAACAGTCACAATATCAACAACAAATAAAACAGATAAATAATGTCCAAAGTCTGTTTTCTTTGCCAGCAACATATGATGAATGAACAAAGCAATAATTCATCCATTCACGTACTCATTTACTACTAAACTTTTAAATTAGTTTAATTGTACTTATTTACTAATTAATTAACTTTTGTAATAATAATTAACTTCTGATTGATTCAGTCAATGCAATTAACATTATTTCAATTGTAGTTCATTTTTTATGAACTATAACTTCACATTTATAGCACTAAGGATATTTTAGTATTGTAATGCACAGGTCAACTTAGGACATCTATTCTATATGCTTTCTTTCAGACTCTTTGAACACCAGCAGGTGGCGATGTACACTGATCTGCCCATGGGTCGAAGTGTATCTGCCGTGTACTCACAGCAGTGTTGTCGCGTGGTCAGCAGGGGGCGCCGGTGAGCGCTAAATCTGATCTCCCAGAAATAATAACAGTAGATCGGTCGCGTTTCAGCAGCAACCGCGCGCGTCTCCAAGCGCAGTCAAATGGCGCCTCTCCAAACAGCCCGAGCGACCAGTCCGACCAGCTGATGTTAATTAGAGCATAAACCGCTTCTGTAACATAATCACCTCTTAATGTGATGTGATTCTGTGCGCTATGATATCACGATTTATCTGCTGCAAATGCGGACGTACAGGAGGACATTGCGCTCAGTTGTACGTGGAGCTGATGTTATTCCAGTAACGGATTGACTGTTACATACATTCATCCTAAGGTAAGAGATTAATAGAGCGTCATATTTTAGTGATGTTACTTGTTTAAACCAATCCGACGTGGCAGCAGAGATTTGTTTTGGTTAACGTTACGGCTATGCTTGCTTTAGTGAATGTAGCAGACGTTGTCATTTTGTTACACGCAATATGCTGTAACGTTAGATATGTTTTATCTGTTGGGTTATTTCTACATGTTGAGAAGCTTAATTTATACACTTACTCCAAGGAAACTCCCATATACGTTATTATACGTGTCATTTTTATGATGCTGGCTACAGAACAACAGGTTTCCCTATAGGGCTTTTCCCACCAGTGGCTGTAATACAAGTTACTGTATAAGAACACATTAGAGGTTACAACTACTGCTTTTAGTGAACCTACATCTTGTTTACTGACTCCAAGGACACTCTGAAAACACGAAATCATGCGCCTTTCTTTCCCAGGATATGGCTCAGTCAAAACATGACCTTTCTCAGTGTTTGTGGGAGTTGTTCTTAATTGTTTGTTGTATAATGACTGATGGTCTATGGTTAAATCATGTACAGAAAATATTTTCCAAATTGATTGTTTGCTCGGAAGTTTGATGAATTATTTGATAAATGTGAAATGACCCTTTTTAATAAACCCATTGACAGTAAAGCCTATCTATCTATCTATCTATCTATCTATCTATCTATCTATCTATCTATCTATCTATCTATCTATCTATCTATCTATCTATCTATCTATCTATCTATTTATTTGTCTGTCTGTCTGTCTGTCTAATTCTATAGTTGGGTCTTTTAATAGATTTTGTTAGTAAAATATTGTTGTGTATTTTATTTTAGTATTTGCATGTCTTTATTTGATTCATATTTTTAATTACATTTTATTAGAAACTTTTGTTTTAGTACTATATTTATATTTATCTTGATTCATTCAGTTTTCAAATTCAATTTTATCATATTCATCCTGATGACAGACATTATGTTGCAGTAATCTCAGAAAAAGTTTGTTCCTTTGTACAATTTGGCTGGGCATTTTGGCTCTTTATTGAAACATTGAGTGTTTTGGGGGCCTGGATTTTCAAAGTTTTTGAAAATATTACTGTTATTGTCAAGTTCAAAAACACGAATTTGTTAAAACTTACAAGCGTACATATCATGCCTTCTGTCTATTCCATGGTGTCCACGGGGTCTTAAAGTCTTAAAATGTCAAAAATCTAATTTTAGGCCTTTTTACTGAAATATTGTGTTGAAATATTGTGTCTTAATTCACTTTAAACGGGTCTTAATTTCTAAATCTAAAGCTGAATAAAATAAATCTCAGCTAGTCAGCTTAATTTTCTTACATCCATGTAAAGCTACCCAATTGGACTAACACCTATCTAATCACTTATATTCCATCTCAATTAAAGTTTTTGCACAAGTTTATTTGTTAACTTTATTTGCCAATATGGTTTAATTATCTTAACACTTGTTTTTAATGGTTATTTAAATGTTTTAACTGGGCCAATAGAAAAAATCATTTGCATATAGCCTTGTGTAAGTCTGAAATTTCTTTCATAATGGTGTGAAAAAGGTCTTAAAGTCTTAAATTTGACTTGATGAAACCCTATATTCACATTCACATGTTCATGACAACTAAAATGACAATTAGTGAACTTTTGTTGTGTTTTTAGAGTTTCTTTTTAAGTGGTATGCACCAACTGCCTGTCCGACATGCGTAATACAATGCTTTTAGTTGTTTTAGCAGATCTATGTAAACGCAAAGCTTGATGACAGTATTGTCATGTATGTACAAACTTTTGCTAAAACTAAAAGGAACAAATACATTATTGTTTATTAGTCATGGGCCGATAAAAGATTCTGACGGTATGATAATCTTGGATAAAAATATCACAATTCTACGGTATTGTGATTACTGCTCTAAAATATGTGCTTTTTAAATGTCTGGGTAAAAAACAAAAAATTATTTTGAACACGATATATTTTAATTTGGGAAACATTCACAATATTCTGAAGCAGTAAACATGTCAGGCTAAATAATTCAAATGAATCCTTGTCTTCTGCACTCTTTATTGTCTTTAAAAACAGATTTATTTACAATTTAAAACAGCATATGTGGATATAATTTTAGGCTGGAGATACTGTTGTCCTAAAACACAAAAAAAATGTAAAAAATCTTACATGTACCATATGAACGGTATAACAGAAATGTTGACAGTTTTAAAACCTTGACTTTTTCAAACCACGGTAAACCTTAAAAACGGTTTTCGTCCAATCCTGCCTCTAGTCATAAGAGTGTTTTAAATCCTTCCTAAAGAATTCTTCATATTTCCAAAGTCTGACAATGTCCTGTATTTTTAAATAGTCATCAGTGGACTGTAGAAGAGCATGCCCGAGTTGGATAGGTGCCCTCTTCATCTGTATAGACTGCTGCAAAGCCTCTCAGCTTAGTATGACTCGACTAGCAGCCACAGCTCTGGCATTTGATCTGTGGCCAATCTGAGGTGACCCAGATCATGCTTGATTAAAGCATTTAACTCTAGAGCCAGTGTAACCTGACCTTTTGATTGTCAGCCAGTTAGGATTTGTATCTCCGCAGCAAAAGTTGAATGAAGTTGAAACTCTTAATTAATGTAAATGTTGTAACATAAATGATAGAATTTTAAAAAAATAAGCTCTTTAAGCTCCTAAAACTGCTCTTTCACATGATTTTTAAAACTTACCAAGTATTTAGAAAACCATTACTGAAACTGAAAAAATGAGGATTTATATTAGAATTAATGTTTTTAAAGGAACTCTCCACCTTTTACATTTCCCCTAGAGCTGAACAGCTAAGTTTTAAAATTGTTGAATACATTCAGCCAATTACTGTATTATACCCAATGTACAGAAGAGTCTGGCCTTAAATATCAAAATTATCAGAACGTTTTGTTTATTTTTAAGCAAGATGCTAATGGTCTAATCCAGTTCAATTATCAATGCTAAGCTAAGCTAACAGTGAACCTTCCAGACCCGGAGATTGGCTGAATGTATTAAATGGTAAAAGTCAACCTTTTAACTCTAAGGGACTTGTAAAAAAAATGTCTAAGAGGTTCTTTTAACCTAAAGACATGCAGATAAAAAGAGAGGAAGTTGACTGAAGCAAGTGTGACATTTAAAGAAATGCGCGAAGAATGAAAAGGGGCATCAGTGTCCTCTGTAGTACAGCTGGTCAGTGCTGAATGTCCCTTTCATGAAATGCACAGGGACTTCCCATGTCCGGAACAAACTGTGCCTGCCAGCTTTTAGTCTTCCTGCTCTATACGCGCGCAAGCACTTTAAATATTACGTCAAGGCTTCGTTGATGTCTCGGCACAGATAGGTAAATTGTTACTGAAGCCAGAATAAATTAGCCTACTAACGCGTCCTTTATGAATTTTCAGAGGCGTGATCAGCAAGCTTTTTAGCATCTTCAGTCTGCTGACAAGAGGCTGAGGAGTGACTCACTGCATGCTGATCAACACATTGTGAGGGGTATTGATGTATAGTGGAGCATATTATAAACCTTCATTTCAGGCCCAGATGGATGTAAGCATCTCTTCAAGTCTAATTTCTCATACTCTATGTTTGAAAACTAAATGTATGATTAATTTAATCCACAGACTGGCTTCTTGTCAACATGTATCAAATCAGCTTTTTAACATCTTGGTACATTTTCAGTGGATTACTTAATCACTAAAGTCATAAAATGTAGGTTTGAAATTATGGGAAGGCTTTGTCATCGAGTTCTAACGAAAAGTGTAAATTTGCACTTAGTATATTTCTTATTTTATGATTTTCTGCAATAGTAAGATGTGTTTGTATCCATCTTATTGTAATTAAAAGTAGAATTTGCTTAGTATTTTATGCAGAAATGCAGATTTTTTTTTTCCTGAAGTATACTATTTTCCATAGTTTAATTTAGGTTTTGTTGTTGTTGTTCCACAAATCATTCACCAGAATGTGTTAGAGTAGATCCATGATTTCCCAAATATTTTCCCAATGCATTGTGATTTAATTGTGAACACATAACAGAAATATAATGCCCACCATCACCAGTTTCAGCTTCCAATGTTTCTAAAACAACCCTAAACGCAAAACACAACAGCATGAGTTTTATCACACAAGTTTGAGTCAGATTCTAACAATGCAGAGCTAATTTGGCAAATGCAATTTGAGCAAAGTCTTTCACAGTGGTACATTTTTTTTTAAAATATTTTGTAACTCCTTAGAAGTCATGGAAACAGCACAATGGTTCCCTGAAGCCTAGCCTACTTTTCTTCCTACTATATGGGCTGATATTATGCTAATATTCCAAATTTTGCTGTAGACGTTTGCAAACGTAATGCCTAGACTTCAATCAAGGTGCTTAGACAGGTTTGGAGCCATTTCTCAGACAGAATAAATCCCTTTTGAGATTGTGAGCCTTTTAATCTTGCAGTTCTAATAAATGCACAGATATGCCATACACTAAAGCAAGGGTGCCCAAACTCTGTCCTGGAGGGCTGATATCCTGGGCTAGCTAAGTAAGCTCTTACTAGGCTTTCTAGAAGCATCCATATAGGTGTGTTGAGGCAGGTTGGAGCTAAAATCTGCAAGACACCGGCCTGTGCCAGTTTGGGCACCCCTGCAGTAAAGGCATAAGAAAACATCACAAAGCATCACATGCCTTCTTTAAGATATTCATTTAATCTACTTTGAAATTGAATATAAAAATGATGGGGAGCTATGTGATTCTCTCCAGAACGAACAGGGTTCCTGGAGATGTGCCATGGGTGGATCTACTAAGTCAACAGTGCACAATTACTGCGTAGCTTTAAAGAAAGATGAGCGAAATTAGATTTCAGTGTTTTCAATAAAATCACATTTGTTTCGGATTGCAGACATTTTAATATACACATTTGCTTGCAAAAGAAGTCATTTGTGGTTTGTAAAACACTTGCTAATGTCTATGGAAGACGGCAGTAATAATCATTTTACACATTATCGCTAATACA